CTCTAAATGCTCATGTGGCTGCTGTGCTACTTAACAGGTCTCCTGTTCAAGAAAAAAACAGGAAAAAAAAACCAAACAGAAGAAAAAGAACCAAAAAAAGAGATTCTGAATACCTTTCTGTCTTGTGAAGATGCAGTAATAGATGTTCTCACCACAACCCCATCCTACTTGCGGTGATGAGTGTTGCTCCATCCTGTAGTTTGTTCCAACTACACTGCAATTCAATGCATTTTCTGTAAGGCAGCTTATTCTGCTTTCCCAAAAGCACCAGAAGTACCTTCCAGCACTAACAGAGGATGCACATATCCCTTTATGGCTTATCACTTTGACTTCAGTGAGAAATTTACTTTTTGTCTGAGGAAAATATTTATCAATATTGCTAGTAGGTTATAAATTTGAACTCCAGGTTCCCATTTGATATTACGAACCACCAGAATATAGTCATGCTGTCAAAGGGGTGAACGTGAAAATATATTGAATTCCTTATCTTGTATCTCTTATTAACAAATGGGTCTGTGGAAAGGTTTGGCCATCACACTAGTTTTTATTGGCACACAGTGAAGTAAAGAAGATGCCAATGGAGGGTTTCCAAACTATACATCTTATTACCACCATTTGTCTCAATCCCAGATCATTGCCCCAGAGAGGATATGCCATCTGCAGCTACAGAGTAAGGCACATGTGTATCCTCACACAGACCCACCAGAAGGGGTTTTGCACTGGAACCCAGTGCAAATCAATACCCATTTTGTTCTCCTTCTTCACACTCTTCCTCCTTACATTACAAATGACAGAATTTAAAGGCTTCCAGCCCGAAAATCCCTGCTGACATGAGTGACTTGCCAAAGTAGGAACGTGCTGGCTGGAGGAATCCATGTCACAGATTTCAGCTCCTATAGAAGCATCTAAATAAAATTTTCAGATGAATTCAGTTACTTTCTCACCTTTGCTTTCAGTGGGAATTTCTGTGTAACTAGGTCTCTTCCTAATGCGATCCTCTATGTTTTATGCATCTAGCAGTGTTAGTCTTTAAATAAATACCTATAGAATATGATCTTGCTATACTCACATAATTATAATATCTTCCAAAAAGGCATCTCTTTAAGCCAAGACACTAATCTATCTTAACCACAACAATGAGCAATTGCAGATCTTGTTGTAAGAGTTTTCCCCTGGTATGTACTACAAGACTGGGGAACCATCTGCCAAACTGAAAAGCATAAATTAGGCAAGGAAAAGAGATCTATGTCACTGATCTTCTGAGAGGTGACGGCTATCGACAGAAAGGAAACAGCTTGAGCCAGCTCAAAAGATGATCAAGAGCCTGCAACATGAAGAACTGCTTGAAGATAACATGTCCTACTGAATATGAGACAAAGCTGTGTGCTCTCTAGTTGTATCAGCTGCGTAACAAGGGGAGCATTTCTAGCTGAAGTATGAACATCTGGTTTCCTATTTGAGGAGTCACAATCAATCTGCCCCAGTAGCACAAACTGCTCACTCCACCCCAAACTTAAAGCTCTTGTGAAACCATCACTGGAGAACCATCTGGTTTTGAGTTGCCTTGTCATTATCCATCTTGTGAGAGATATTTTCAGGATGTCAACAAACAACTCCATCCAAAAAGGTCTTCCATGTTTCTTGTCATCCACGATTGCATATATTTAGATCCCATATGCCCTGTACTTTGCTTCCCCGGAAACTCAGGGTTGGCTTGTGCCAAGAACAGCACGTAAGAAATTTCCTTTGTGTTATTGTTTGTAGGGTCTTGCTGAGCCCCGGGAACGAAGCGTAACACGCGCGTGCACATTTGAAAATGGGTTGTCTTGGTGTCCCACTCACAAACTGCCAACCAGCCCACCTCCCCCGCTCCTGCTTCACTGGAGTCATTTCGTCAGCTGGGGGCTTACAAAGCAGGAGTTCTGCTAACCCTTTGTTCTCTGAAACTTTATTTATCGTCTTCCCCTCCGTCACAGCCCGCGTGTGGAACCAGCGTGTAAAAGAACGTATGATTCAGTGCCACACAAAAATTCTGCTGAGCTTCTCACGTTCAGCACCAATAGGAACCTTTGTGTGGTGTGTGGCTGCAGAGTGCCAGCTTCTGAGTGTGTAAAATGCGCTTGACCTCACTTCCAAACACCCACATGCACGCCCAAAATGCTGGAGAACTTATCATATTCATGGTCCAGAAAGTGGCGTTTTGTTCTCTCTCTGCCCCTGCTCTGCCTGACTTTGGGTGAACGCAGCTGAAAATGTCAGACACAGCCCTGATGTAACGCAAGAGGAGGATTACAGTTCTCCTGACATCGGAGGGGGGTTACAACAATGCAGCTGACGTAAGAGGGGACGGATTACAGCGCATCTGACAGAGCGGCAATTATAGGAAATGTATTTGCAGGGATGGATGGAAAATGAATCGTATACGCTGTTCCAGGGGAGGACAATAAAGGTGTGTTGCAACAGTCCTTCTCCCCCCCTCTGGAAAGCCGCGTTTCTCACTTGTCCATCGGCACAAACAATCTGTGCTGTATGGCAGGAAATATCAGACACAAATATCACATCAATCTCTAAGGAAGGATACCTGTTTTCGTAACTTGCTCATTGACTAAGGATCTCTTAGTAGTGGCTCAGACAATAGGTGGATATATCAGGTTTTCCCTGTGGAATAACTGTACCACCAACACTGTGCTGTTAATGCAACTTTTATTTTGTTTCTGTTTTCTTTCAGAGTGAGCAAAGTCGAGAAGGAGAAGGGGGAGGGGAGAAGCTCCAGGTTTTTTGGTATGCAGTGGACAAATGCCATTAAAACCCTCTTCAAAGGAGCCGGTGCATTCCCCCTTTCCTGGCAGAGGTACAGGCAGGCACAAGCAGGTGAAAGAATTACTTGGGACACTGGGAAAGCAATTGCCTTTCCATCTCAAACTGCAGCAAGAGTATGGAGGATCTCAGGCACTAATGCATGAATATAGAGGAAAGGTGAGGGGGGCCTTTATTCATTTTGTCCCCGGGGAATGATTTGCAGCTTTCTGCATGAATCACTCACAGGCGAGGGGAGGGGTGTGGAGGTTGGAGTGAGGGGGTCATCAAAACTGCCAGACTCGGGTCACTGTTTCCAGCACAGCCATCAGCAAAGAACATACGTGTGCAGTGAATTCCATTGTCTCAGGACGCTTCCTGTTGGGCACGTGTCCACCTCGCCCACAGCTGCACCGCCGGGGCACCTCCACATCCTACAGCACTCCTGTAAAATGCAATGGGACACTGGGACAGTCAGTCCTAAAGGAACGAGGCTGAATTCCCTTCCTGCTCTCATAGATTGTCCCTCCAGCCCAGCACGGGAACAGACATCCAGTCCCCAGTGAGGCCATCTGTACCAGCTGGAGAACAACTGGCAGAACAACTTGGACAGTTGGGAACACCTCACGGCAACCCCAGCAGCCATAAAGACAAGGGCAACAGCCTTCAGTCCCCTGGCCCGCCCACGGGAAGGTTCTCAAACTCGTTGAAAGGAGGCTGGTTTCCCACCACATCCATCCAGCTGGCAGAATTTCCCCAACCTTTTTGTAGGGATCCCAAAGAGAAAAGATCCAAGGCAAGGCAAGGGAAAAGGGGCACAAGAGAGTTTGACCTTGAGTTTTGGCTAATATGTATCTTCAATGTGGAGTTCCCACGAGCTCTGCCTCAGGTTGGGGGTGCCCAGAGCCTGTGAAACCACTAGACGTGGACAATGAGGTGACAATAGGGTGACAATGGTATGACTGAGTGTCCCAACTCCTGCTTGACAGCTCAGGACCCAAGCAGGGCAGATCATCCCTACCCCAGCACTGCTTCTTTACACAACCAGCCTTCCCACAGTGGTGTCAGTGGGTTTTCTTCCCTCGCCATTTCAAGGGGTTTCCAGCACTGCTTCCCTGCTGCTTGTTGTTTCCTTCTCACCCTGTCCATAGCCTCTTCAGTCTTGGGACCCTTTCAACCTTCATCTCTGTCTGGGGCCCTGGGAGGACTGACAGCTTCAGATTACAGCCGTGTGCACAGCAGTCAGCAGGGAGGACGCTGGCACAGAGAAGGGGAAGGATAATTTCACAGGAATCAAATCCCCTGTCAAACGGATCGTGGACATGCCTCCCTGCCACCTCTGCTCTCATATCTGATGTCTACTCGGCATTTGTTTTTTGCTTTGGAAGCTGCCAGCTTCCGACTGATCCTACACTGCTAAACCTCCCTGATCAGGTGTGGCCTAAAAAAAACCCCAAACAACAAAGCAACACACAAGCTACTACAGTGTGTGGGATGTTTCAGGGAGCAGTGAGAAGCAACACAAGCTCTCAACAGAAACTGCTGGCACAGAGTGGCAAAGCTTTGGGAGCAGCAGAAAGCAGCTGACTCCGTTTGACCTGCCTCTCTGTCCACACTCCAGCCAGGAGTGGGGGGGCTAAAATTCAATTACAAGCCCAGAAAGCCCAGCCGGTGAACAAATCACATATAAGAGCTGCCTATTGTATAAATTGTGTTAAACCCTGTATGTACACAGCTGTACTTACACCAGCTGTAAGATTAACGTTATTCACTTAATTTCAGTGTGAAGGTTGGCCTTGCAGTTAAAGCACTTTGCCAGAGCTCAGGACACAGAAGTTTCACAGCTCTGCCACAGACTTGCTGCATCACTACCATGGGCAAGACACTTCATCCTGTAGACTTTCTGCCCTCCCAGTAGTAAAGGAGGTACAGTAAATGGGGGAAATTACATCTTTTCCTTACCTGTTGTCTCTTTTGTCTGTGAAGATTGTACAGTCTTGGTGGAAAAATGCCATTTCCAAATTTGTCTGTAAGCATCTGATTTCCAGGTGGTTCTGCCCCAGGAAGGTGCCTACCTGGCTAATATGCCAAAAGTAACTTAAGATTAATGTACTCAGCCCCAGAGGTTTTTGGTCCTCTTTGCTCAACACATTTTGATAGACTACATGTTCTGCCTTACAGGATATCTTGCAGATGGATGTTTTAAGAGGTGTAAACAAAATGACTTTCAGTTAAATTTAAATGGGCACAGTTGGATTACAGGTCTGTAGTCACTTTTACTACTATCACCACCTTTGGTCATTAAGCTTAAACAATTGGAAAAAAACCCTAATTCAAAAGCCATTGTTCAGTGCTAGTTGTTCAGCTTCTGCATTTTATTTACCCTGGGCAATGGAAATAACCTATCCCACTTCTCTTTTTTACATAACTTTTTCGTGTGTTTGTTGCCAGTTGCCAGTCAGGTTCATGTGCCCCAGTACTATAAGAGTGATAAACACAGAAGGGAAATGATTACAATAAAACAGAGGCACTCTCAAGGGCACAGACCACCTTGTTTGTTCAGTGTTTGTATTTCCCCTTATATAAACAAAGACAGTCAGAGCCTTGGTATTAACAGTAGATTTTGTAACACATTATATGTAGGCAAGTAAAGAACCCAAACATACCTGGTGGTGACCCTTTAAAAAGCTATTTCTGAGCCCTAGATTAGGATAAATGGTGAAGAGGAGGTCTATGTCCCTTTATTCTGCAAGACAAGCTCAATGTATTATGTCAGTGAAATGTCATTGTCTCGTTAATTATGGAATGTCATAAACCTTAATGACAAAAGACCACTGTTGTGATCATAATTATGTAACTGTGATGCAATATTATGACCAAAGACATTCCAGTGGTCTGAAATATATTTCTGCATAGCATTGCGGTACCTCAGTAAGGACATGCTAGCTTTAAAGTATTTTTGCCAAAATTGCAGTGGCAGCCTGGATTTTTTCAATTCAAAGATACTTTGAAGTTGTATTAGAAACAGTCATGCACCATTTTTTCAAGATAATGCTTTTGTCTTTAAAATAAGCCTACAAGTATTTTAGTTGGTTATCTCATCTTCTTTACTTCAAATGTCACTATATTTTTTTTTGTAATGTGACACCTCCCATTTTACTTTTTTTCTAGGCCAGAGTCTAACTTGGTGTGACCAGGAACAACACTATTGATTTCAGCAAGGTTTTATTCAATTAAATTGTGTAAAATAGCCTAACAAATACGATTTTCAAAATAATCACACTGTTATTTTCTGGGGAAAAAAACTACAGCTGTACAGTAAATAGTGCCCCAGCAAACCTGCCATACCAATCCAGGCTGACTTCAGCTGTGGAGGGTGAAATGGGTAGAAAGGAATGACTCCACTTCTTGGTTTGTTTTCTTTTTGCCAAGCGAAGAAAGTTGCTATTGTCGTTAGTTTGTTTTGAAACTGATAGAAAATGCTGAGTGAAATGACTAAAGATTGAATTGCTGGAAATATCTGCAAGATGAGTTCTGGAAGGCATCAGTCTCCATGTATATTGCCATACATAGATCACGCCACCCTTAGGGAGGGAGCACATTGCTGCTGCAATGGAAAAACTGAGCAGCTGTATCCTCCCAGCTTCTCCGTCTTCCGAGAGAAATCAAAAGAACATCCTTGTGAATATGCTTTGGAATGTCCTCCTCACTTTCCTCGCTCTTCTACCCTGGTTATGTGCAAGCCAGCTCTGTAATTACACCTCTCAAGACCATGGATATCACAGAATCATCCAAGGTGATTCCTCGTTCAGGATATCCGAAACACCAGAGGGCAGCAGAAATGTTAAAGCAGAAACTGCAGAAGCCTCAACCTTCCCAAACAGAAGCACCTCTGTGAAGCGATAGAACACGGTTGTGTAAGAGGTTTGTGATTCCTCCATAGTATTCACAGTGAAAGTGGTAGAAAAACCATGTAAATATGACACTACCAAAATTGTGCAGTGCTGGTGAAAGCTGTTGTGACACATATGAATGAAAATGGAAGAGGAATACAAAAAGGTTGCCGAGAATAGTAGATGCAGGGGGTCTTTTAACTCTCAGCAAATCATAAAAGTGTTATAACTCTTAAAAATTTGGTGCTCTCTCCTTCACTGCAGACGTTAAATGTCCCTTTGCAACAGAGGTCACTTTAAGTACCTTCCACAGGCAGCAACACTTGCTAGTCCTTCTTGCCTCTTCCATCTACTGCAGTTAATTAAAATCAGGATGGTGGATTCCCCTCTGGTGAGGTCTTACACTCTCGAGGCAGTCCTGTGGCACAGGTGTCCACAAGCACCAAATCCAGTCCTCTTCTTCCCATTTGGGAAGAAAGAAATTCTGAGTCCTTTAAAAAGAAATAAAAATGTTGCACTCCTAGCTGGGGCTGTCTTTGAGTGTTCTTTCCAAAAAGACCAGCTCTGTTTGCCATCCTAAAACACTTAATCAATTTCAAATGAAAGCAGCAACTATAATTAAAGGGAGGAAAATCCCACCACAGCAGAGGAGCCATTATTAAGGTAATTTTTTCCTTTATAACTCCTGGGGCACTGTTCACATGCAGCTGCTACTGTATGTGCTGTTTGTGCGTCAGCTTCTCCTCATGAGCTCCACAGAGAATATACTGTTAGCTTAATAATAACAATAATAATAAGTCAGCTTTTCATGTGAGTTATTCAAGGCACTGTGTAAGCACTAATTGAATGCTACAATAGCCCGGGTTGGCTGTGTGCTATTACCCCTTTTACAGCACATGCCACAGCAGTCCCATGACTTGGGTCACACCATGTAAGCAGCTCCTGTCCTTCAGCTCCTGACCACCAGCTCTGCAAGCCACTGCCTCTCCCAGAACCATTCAAGCCCTGCAGACTGCCAGCCTGACTGCTCACAGAAAACAAGCACTGAGACAGCATGATTTTTGTGTATAAAGGAAGTTTGGGGGTTAATTTCAGGTGTTATTTCTCTGTGTTTGTAGGAGAAAGAGCCTGTAGTGTAATTGGCCTGCCAAAGGACTAGCATTAACATTACAGCAGGTAACACAAGCAGAAGAGTTAATGTTTTATATATATATATATATACGTATATATGTATATATATAGGGAAGCAGGGGAAGTCCTGCTTGCTCCGCTAAAACGTCCTGATGGATCTCTCTCAAGTGCATTGATGACGCACAGCTCACGTATTTGATTTATATAGAGCACCACATTTTCCTCATCCCATCTTTAAATTTACAAAAGCTGACAAAAAGGTCACTTTCCTCCCCTAGTGGGTGCCTCTTTAGGAGTCATCCACGTGCCTTAAGGAGACCACCAACAACATGTGAAAACAATCACAGAATCACAAAATAGTCAGGGTCAGAAGGGACCTCTGAAGATCATCCAGTCCAAGGCAGGGTCACCTGGAGCAGGTGATACAGGAACACATCCAAGTGGGTTTGGAAATGTCTCCAGAGAGGGAGAATTCAAAACCTCCCTCGTAGCCTGTTCCAGTGCTCTGCCACCCTCCATGTACAGAAGTTATTCCTCATGTTGAGGTGAAACTTCCTGTGTTTTATTTTATGGCCATTGCTCCTCATCCTGTCACTGAGCACCACCGAAAAGAGTCTGGTATCAACCTCTGACACCCACCTTGGAGATATTTATATGTATGGATGAGATCCCCTCTCAGTCTTCTCTTTGAAGAGATTTTTACTGATTGATTTGAAATCTTCGGTGTGAAGCAGAGCTACATCTCTTCCACCCAAAGCATCACCTTATTTCAAGCAGTCTGACAAATCCAGATTTTGTGTCCCGGGGTGGAAGAGAAGGGTCACTACCCAGTGTGCCACGGGCTGTGACAGTCAGGTGAGGGGTTCAGACTAAGAGGGACAGTTTTCCAGTCAGAAACCCAACAGATGACTGAATTACCTGCCTGAAAAGAGCCTTGACTGACTGTAATACAGAAGATTAACAGATGTGGCTGGCATCATTCAAGACTTATTTTTGTGGCTAAACTGGAATTTGACTCCAAATGTACAAATATTTTAGTCACCTGCTGGGTGAAGGCTGAAGACCTACCTGTTTGAACCCTGTGCATCTGCTGCTTCACATTTGACCTTGAGAGGAGTCTCAGCTTCCAGGATGCTGAGGTTCAATCCCAAACAACCTCTTTCAGCCCTGGTTTGCCAAAGGGAAACTTCCCAAGCCTCACTTCCAGACTCACGAGACATAATAGTACTGCAGGTATATTTTGACTGTAGCAATAAGTTGCAATAGTATCACAAGGCTGCATGTAAATATATTGGACCTGCTGGAGGCAGCCCAGAGGAGGCCACCAAGATGATTAGAGGGATGGAACACCTCTCCTCCAAGGAAAGACTGAGAGACAAGAGGGAATGACTTCACACTTAAAGAGAGTAGGTTTAGGTTCGATATTTGAAAGAAATTCTTTACTGTGAGGGTGGCAAGGCACTGGATCAGGTTGCCCAGAGAAGTTGTGGCTGCCCTATCCCTGGAGGTGTTCAAGACCAGGTGGGATGGGGCTCTGAGCAACCTGGTCTTTCGAAGGCGTCCCTGCCCATGGCAGGGGGCTTGGAACAAGATAACCTTTACAGTCCCTTCCAACCCAAACCATTCTATAATTCTAGGATAACATATGGGTTCTTTATTATTACTTGTGTTGCTGCCTGTGCCCAGCTGGTGGACCCAGAGGGCTGCTGTCCCCACACCGGGGTGGCCTCAGCCCTTGAGGGTCGGTCGGCAGCAGCCTCCCCACTCCATCACACCCTGGAAAACACGGGCAGGGAAACCGTCCTTGGACGGGGGAAGGCGGGTCAGTGTCCCACCACCGGCACTGCTGCGAAGGGTGGGCGTTCACAGGGATTAGGGATAAATGTCCCCCGCAGCTCTGCAGCCGCACTTTCCTCCTGCCAGCTGGACTGTCCCTGTCGGTGTCCCCGACACACGGGGCTGGGAATGCCTCTGTAGCTGCGGACAGCGGGACCCGGCACCCCCGCCGGGGGTCACCGGGGGTCACCAGGGCCAGGTGCTGTCGCCGGGCCGGCGCGGTGGTCGCAGCCGCGCTGCGGGGACGCGCCGTCGGGAGCGGGGAGCGACTCCGGCGGGAGGATGGGATGGGGCGGGGTGGGCAGGAGACCCCGGCGACCCCCCCACCCCTCACCCCATCCCACCCCATCCCTCCCTCCCTCCGCCCTGACGTCACCGCCCCCCCGGGTCTCCCGGGCGACGGCTCCATCAGCGCCCGCGTCAGCGCCGCCCGTTCCCTGGCAACGTCCCGGTGCCTTCGCTCCCCTTCAGCCCCGCGCCCGGGACCGCGTCCTTCTGGCGTCAAAGTGACGTCAATGGGCCCGTCTCGGCTTTCGGCGGTGGGCGGGGGGAAGGAGGCGGGCGGGGAGGTAGGGAAGGCGGGGTGTGCGTGGATGGAGGAGGGCGCCGGGAAAGGGCGGGGGGCCGGGACATCCCGCGTGGTCCCGCCTGCCCCCCGGTGCGCGCACACACACACACAGACACACACACACACACGCTCACCCGCTCACAACACACACCCGCCCGCACACGCACCCGCGCCCGCACACCCTGCGCCGCACACAGCGCATCGCACCGCGCCCGCACCGCACCGCCAGGTACGGCCGCTCCGGCGGGCAAGAGCGGGACTGCCGGCGGCTCGGACGGGGCTCCGGGGCGGGGACAGCCCGTGTGAGCCGTGCCGTGTTCCGTGCAGGTGCGAGCAGCCCGGGGCAGCGCGGATGCTCCCGTCCTAAAGGCGCGGCGAGCGCTGCCCGCGCCCCCCGCCCTGAGCCATGGTGATCATGTCAGAGTACGGCTCCGCGCCCGCGGCCGCGCAGCGGCCCCTGCGAGTCGGCTTCTACGACATCGAGAGGACCCTGGGGAAAGGCAACTTCGCCGTGGTCAAGCTGGCCCGGCACAGGGTGACCAAGACGCAGGTGGGTGCGCTGGAGGTCCGGGGATGGCGGTGGGAGCGCGGCGGCTCCGCGGAGCTGCGGAACCCGCGGCTGATGCGGCTCCTCCTCTGAGGATCTTCAAGTTTTCCCGCTGCGTGTAAAATTAAAACCGAGCGAGAATATATGTGAAAAACCAACTTCAAAACACCCCATTTCTGAGTGTTACGGTAGCTTCGTTGAATCACACTCAGTTTGCTGAAAAGCCCGACACATTAAGGGTCTTCGAAAGACTTTTTGTGGGTTTAATTTTTTTCTCATTGAAGA